TAGTAATTAATGAAATCATGAAGAATGGTTCATGGTGACTGACACCTTCTTGGCAACCACAATCCCCTCTTGTACTTAGTTGAAATGTCACTGGCTCCACAGGTTTGATTTGGGGGGTGGAGCGGGTGGGCGGAGGGGGAGGGAATTAGATTACATAAAGTTTCACAACAGCCATCAGCTAGAACAGAAAGCTGTGAGCATGTTCCTCCAAGTCTCTCTACTTGGGAGAAGTTTTCTGAAAAATCTTTCATTCATCCAGTGCTGCCTTTAAGAAATCCTGCTAATATCACATTTTCACTAAAATGGTATCGTGTGGCTCAACTCAGTTAGCAAAGCTGTAGTGTTGAAAGTCACCCTCTTCCTTCCCCCTCCTGTTTTCACACATTTCCTTCTTTCTTGGCATTGCCTAGATTTATTCTCTTCTTCTCCCTTTCAGGAACAGAATTTGGCATAAATAAATGATAACTGAGAAAATGGTATAAACAGAAGAGTAAACACAGAGTTTCTCCAGCCTCCCACTGCAGGTCAGGGTAATTTGTTGTAGCAAGTGGTTGCCCACAAGAAAGGTGGCAGTTCCAATGGCTGCCATTTAATTTGTGTTTTAATAAAAACCCCCATTCTTTCCTTAATTACTCAAAAGAAAACATGAACACCTCCCCCCCAAAGCCTTTCAGACTTCTAATTCATTGAAACTGTTAAATCAAAATGGACTACTTCTCCAAGGTACTGCCCACAAAATGGAATTTGGTACATTTCATACTCCAATGAATTTAAATTGTATGGAGCTGATATTTAATACAAGTGCAAGTACCAGTGGAATCTGCATACTTAGTATGCTTCCTCGAACTCTCAGAATTAAGTAGGTGATCTATGGGACACAAAGGGATCATCCTTCTCTCAAAGAGAATATTTTATGACCAGGCAGTTTAAAAGGCACTGACATAAACAACTGTTTGCAGCTCTCTTTCTCATCTTCAGAAGGCAAAAAGTACATGTAAGAACATGCTGTTTTAGACAAAGCACTGTAGAAAATCACTTGAAATGCTTTCCTTTTCCTTTGAGGACGACTGAACCTTAGATAGGTATTCAAGAGTGTCCTTGCAATTTCATTTGTTTGTTTTTTTTTTTTGGGGGGGGGGGGGGGGGGGGGGGGGCCGGGGGGGGGGGGGGGGGGGGGGGGGGGGGGGGGGGGGGG